TCTTCTTTATCCAATCTCCAAAAATTTCTATTGTTGTCACTTTAACATTATGCCTCAAACTTCAGGATTCCTTTCCATCAAAATGATCAGTATTATCTGACTCTATGCAAACCTCTGCTATCACTGTAATGACCTTGGCAGCCACTGCCTGGAGTCTTCTAGTGAACGAATAACGAGCTCACGGTTATTGAGGCCCTGATGGCAAGCGGCACTGTCTTGAAGGGATCAGTAATACACTGACTCTGAAGTGCTCAGGACTCACAGCTGTTCACCATGGTCTTGTGGCTGCAGAGGTAGAGGCTGGTACCTTGCTTTGATGGCCGAGGGTGGGATAAGTTCTCTGTAGCTCCCTGCACGCTCCCTGCAGCTCCTTGCAAGTTCCTCTGCAAGGAAAAACTGGGGCTGGGGGCAGAAAGGTGGGTAAGAAAAGCTTTCGTGCAGCAAGTAGCCCTGTTGGGTCAGGGGAGCTGCTCCTTACCATGGTATCCTCAGAGGCCAGCACTGACCATGGTATTATCAATGAATAAGGGGTTAGTGGAGCTCAAAATCAGACCACAAATAAAAGCTATAATCGGGGCCAGAGGTTTAGCTCAGTGACACCAGCACCTGCCTGACAAGTGAAAGGTCCTGAGTTTGATACTTGGGACCACTAAAAAAAAAATGCTATGATCTATATTTATGTTGCCTTGTGAATTGGGGAGGGGAACTTAGCCCTTCCAGAGAGAGTGACCGACCTCCAGGTGGGGACACTTAGTCCTTGTCCACAGAGTGTACTGCTTGGCGCCATTCTGGAGAAGCTGTGTCTGTCGTGGAGCCCTGGGATCCCCAGGCATTTGGTGAAGGAAATGACGGTTACTTCATTCTATTAGGCCATCAATTTCAAAATCAGAAAGGAACAATTTGAGACTTGGTTGGGTAAGGGAATGGAAAGTGTAGGAAAAACGGTTTGTGCCTGGATGATTCACAGGGCTGTAATCTTGTTTTTAATTTCCAGTAAGCTGGCCGCACCTTGCTTTCTCTGCCACCCACTGAAATATTAAGTGTAATTTTCATCACATTTCTTCCAAGTGATATGAAATAAAATGGAAAGCTCAAGGCACCTTAATTTGCAGAGTGTGGACTACAGTATAACAACCCACATTTACTAGAGCTCAGATCATGGTGCTTATTTTTTAATTAAGTAAAAGAACAACTTGGAGTTATTCTCAGAGCAAATGCTTCTCTGAGCAATGGACCAGCACGGTCCATTCTAGTTGGAGCTATAAAAATCCACAGCTCTGAAGAGTTCATACTTTACTTTCTAATTAAATCTAACTTAATTTCCAATTCATTTCTAATTAAAGTTTACACTTTAATTTCTAATTCTGTGGTCAGTAACATGCAACCATAAGGCCACTGGAAAATCATGGAATTCCTAATTGTCAGAGCACAAGGGGACCAAGATGTCCTTTTGTCCCCTGCCTTGAATCAGAGGGAAAGATCGGGCTGGGTGTGAGAAGTGACTGATCCCAGCTCTGTAAGGTGCAGAAAAAATGGAAAAGAAACTGATTTGGAGAGCAGGAAGATGCTCAAGTGAAGCAAAAGCAAGAACCACAATAATACCAAAAAAAAAAAATAGAGCTTCTAATTCTAATTCGAACCTCAGAATGTTTTGTTGAAGATTAGTTGTTACAGCAACTCAAGAAGAATGTTCCTTTAGAAGTCACTTATTTCATCTGAGGCCATTTGTCTTCCTCCTTTAACACTCTCAAGCATGAATTTAACATCTTTATAACAAATAGCCTCTGTAAGGCTCAGAGGACAGAAAGGATATTACAATCCACCAAGTTCAGGAAGATCATTAATTATTTTGCTGACCATTAAGCACTGATTCCCCGAGGTGGTTGAAAAACGATGGCTGAAGGCTGTATCTCCAGTATATTCCAAGCCATCAGAATCCATTACCAGGCACTCAGTGGACTACGGGTCCTCGTTAGCATCCACCTGCAGTCCTACAGCTCTCTGTCTTCCTCTTGCCCTTGGTAGGTGTGCAGCCCTGGAGTTTGGCCTGATCTGCTGGCTCTGGACATCATTCTCTCACCAACTCACATCTCAGAACTACTCCACAGAACCTGTTAGCACCCAGAAGGGAAGTCTGCTCCTCCATGCTCATAATGGCCTCCCCCACCAACTCTGTCATCAGAGGCCCATTCTGGATATGTGCAGATGTCACAGAGTTAGCAGAGGAGTTCTTATGAGCCAGCTGTTACTTCACATTTCCTGAGGTTGCATAGCACAAGCAGAATCCGAAGATGCCGGGTTGCTTTAGAATGACCCCCATAATGGCTCCCACCCTCTGAGTTGTCAGGTGGCCCCAATCAAACAAACTCAGAGCATTTTTAGGGAGAAAGAAGAAGGAACTAGAGAAGAGAGGATGCCTGAGTAATCACAGGGTGCTTCCAGGAAGCACGTGGCCTCAAATACACAACTTCTCCTGTAAGTCACATAAGTGTCACCTTGCCCTCCACAGAAACAGACATCCTAGCACAACACAGGGAGAAACAATTCGTTCCCATAGCACTAAATCACAAAGAGTTAAGAGGAGAAGCTCGCAGGGAAAATCTACACAGCCTGGCAGAGTCTCTACTTTGGGAGGTCATGATCAAGGATGTCCTAATCAAAATGCTAAGAATGTTCTGGAGGCCACTGTCGGTTCTGGGACTGCCAGTATGAGTCAGGATGGGGAGCAGCATCAGATAACACAGGTGGAGAAAGAGTTGCGCAGAAGAAAGAGGCTGAATTAATCCAAGGGCTGGGGCAGGATGTGGCTATTGTCTGTCAGCTGGTGGAGAACTCAGACTCCCAGAAAAATAGTCCAGAGCAGGGCTTTACAAACATTTTTTTTTTTTTTGGTAGTGGTAGCAGAACTCTCTTTTTCAAACGAAACCTTCTGTAGAACTCTAACATATAAATCCCATAAAGATTAAAAATGGGTTGATTTATTTTCATAGTAAAAATGGATTTTTTGTCCCCCATGTGGATTATACAAATAACACATGATTGCCAGCGGAGAGAAATAAAACAACATAGCACAGTAGAAGGGGAGAAAGTGAAACCCTTGAATCAGAGCTCCTGAGGGGTCACTGTTGCCTTTGCTGTCTTCCTCTTGCGTATCTCCTTACGTGCACACACACGTGCACACACACAGAGTCTGCACAAATGTGTATGTGCGGCATTGCTGCAGACACCACATGAGCGCTTTTCTTTCCTTGTCTCCAGCCGCTCTATCTCCCCCGCACCTGCCCATTTCTCTGCCTCCCTGCCTGTCTCCAGCATGTGTTAAGAACCTAGCAGCTACTTCTGCCTGTGCTTTCTCCTTTCCCATCTCCACTTCTGTGTATCTATCAGTTTATCCATGTATCTCTCAAATCTATTGATATTGCATGTGTGATACAGATTTAAAAATCTATAAAATCAGATTTGGGGGATCACTGACTTTAAAAATGAATGTGTATTTCTTCTGTCACTCCCCATGGGACAGACTTGTATTTACCTGCAGGTGTCAAGCACCCCTTTAGCCAACATCAACATCTCCTTTAGGGATGCGCTGAACCCAGCCTGTCTCCAGGTTGGGCCACTACAGATCCATGACAAATGTCCTGTGCATGAGAGAGTGATTGAGTGGGTTTCTTTTCCTGTGGGGGGAATCTCAGGTGTGATGTGATAGAATCAAGTGTATGTTTTAAATTTTAATTTTAAAATATACTGCCACCTTATTTTCTTGTGGTCTAAATGGCTCCCATTTCTGTAAGTGGTGTATTAGAGCCATCTTTTTCCTGAATGCGTCCCAGAAAGGGGGTTTGCAATTCATTTTAATTTGGTCAGCTGGTTGGACTTAAGAAGATAACACATTATTATTGTTGTTGTTGTTGTTGTTGTTATTTTGGAATTCTCTTACTTCCAAGGGTTCTAAGCATTTTTGTACGGATTTAGTAGCCACTCTCTTCACCCTTTTAAATGTGAATTTGAACACTAAAGATACTATTAATCTATCGCTTGTGTTGAATTTTCCCCAATCTTCTGTTTGTTTGTTAAAGTTATGATTTTTAGTTTCACTGTAAAATCAGAAATAAAAATGTGTCACTTTCGATTTGATTTCTCTTGCCCAGTGGCGCAACACGTTGCACTGTGGTCTTTCCATTTCTGCAGCTACCGTGTCTGTAAGTTCAACCAACTGCAGATAAAAATATTGGCAAAAGAACTGTGTATTTTCTTTTTCCTTCTGTCACTATTTCCTAAATGACACAGTATTTACATTGTGTTAGATCTCATAAATAACCTAGAGATGTTTCAGAGTCTATGGGAGGCTGTATGTGGTACTATGAAAATACTACATTTTATAGTAGTTATATACAGTAGTTTATACAGTTAAGCGCACGGTGGGGTGTGTGTGTGTGTGTGTGTGTGTGTGTGTGTGTGTCCTGTAACCAATTCCTCCTGGATACAGAAGGGTGACTCTGTTCAGTAAACACATTCTTTTCTAAGCTCTGATGCCTCCTCTTGTTTAACAGTCTCCCCATGGTTTCATGTGTATAAGTGGTGAGCTACGCTAGGAGCAACACTAAGCACACTTGCTAGCCATTGATGAACAACACACAGGGTCCAAACCCTGTGGCTCACAGCAAGGGCCTCAATTATCTCACAGATTCCATGGGACCGAATTCTGGAGGGCTTGGCCAAGCCCTCAGGCTCTCTCGTTGCCACCTGGAGTTCCAGTCCTCTGGCAGGATCAGGGAGGACCTGCTTCCAGGCTCACATGGTTAATGATAGCACTTAGTTCCTTGCTGGCTGTGGACCACAGGGTATCCTAAGTCCTTGCCAAATCCCATTAGACAGCAGCTCATCCCCAGAGGCTGATTCCATCAGAGCAAGTAAGCAAGAGGAGCCAGACGATGCCAACCCAGCGGGTGGTCATATCGCAAGTGACATCAATCACTTTTGCTGTGCTCTGCTCTTTACAGGCAAGTCACCAGGTCCAGCCCACTCTGGGGAAGAGAAAACATACAGGTGTGAAGAGCAGGAGGTGAGAAACAACCCGCCTGTCTTAGAAACCTGGCTGCCATGGAGACAAGAATGAACCAGAGTATGTGCTTCTATTTTGAAGGGAAAATACTTCTAAAGTACCAGTTCATGTTTGCTTCTTGTTTGTTTGCTTGTCCTACCTTTAGATTTTAAATGGAGTCCATTTCTCTTATGAAAATGCTTTGCACTGCCTTCCTCCTTTTTCTGTGTGTTAAAGAACCCATCTCCAAGGACTAACATTCATCCCAACGATGAGCTTGGGAACCACTAGATTGGGAGTTTTTGTCTGTTTTCAAACTCCAAGTCACTTTTCCAACCAGAAATTAACTTTGTGATGCAGCAGTGCCAAGCCAGGTGTATTTTGCCCATTGGCAACATCTTTACGATTGACTTAGCGGCTTAGGACTCTGTGAGCAGAAGCAGTCACCAGCTCCGCTCTCATTCGCGATGCAGGTGCTGCTAGATGTTCAGACTTTGCATATTCTCATTTGGAAAGAAAGGCTTAGCTTGTGCAAACTATGTCCAACCAAGACCCAGTTTAGCAAGGTACATAGAAAAGTGGGACTTCACAAAGCTCAATGAAACTGGAGATTACACTCAGAGTCTTTCTTGGGAATGAAGTGTCTATTCAAAGCACCAAACTTAAAAGGAAAGGTATTCGTATGCATTTGTAGTTTTCTTTAGCTGCGCATATTTGCTTCTGTTTGTTTACTTGCTGAAGTTTGCAATAACCAGGATAAAATGTTGCTTGGAAGCTTCCTAGAGGACCAAGGAGAGAGAAGAGGAGTTGCTTTTATGTGAGAAAAAATATCAGTATTTAGGTTGTATTTTGCTACACTTAAAAGGAAAACAAAAGATTCGTGAAGCATATGATGTGAGATATTTTACCTTGAAATGTAGTCTTTGTTCATGGGAATCAATTATGTCACTTTAAGTCACTTCAAGAGGCTATGCATTTGCATAATCATGCTAGTACTAGTACTATATTCACCAGATAAAGATGAGCAAAAGATTTACTTCAGAATTAAAGTCATCAGAAGCTAAAAAGACACGTTAGAGATTTTATAATTGTGTGTTTTCTGGTGTTTACAGGATACCTGGCTAGCTGGTGCTGTCCAGTGAATGCACTCACCATTAATTATTATTTAATTTAAAAATCCTCAGCTTGGTTGAGTCATATTTGACATACAAGAAATTGTACATTTTAAAGTATAATTAGATGCATTTTTTTTCTGATACTGGAGATTGAACCTAGGGCCTTGCACCGAGCTACATTCCTGGTCCTTAATTTTTTTTTTTTTTTCAGTTTTGGAATGGTCTCGATAAGTCATCAAGGAATCCAGAGGGTGGGCTTCAACCTGCAATTTTCCTGCCTCGGCCTCCCAGTGTGCTAGGATTACAGGCACCTCCAGCTATAGTTAGATATATTTTGCCATCCAAAAACTCATCTGCACAGCAGAGACTTTTTAAGCCAAGCCTTACATCTCCTTAGGGCTGATTTCCTCATTCCCCTCAGACACCCACTCCCCTGGCCTCTGTACCCCCAGGCAGGCACTGATGTGTGCCCCAACACCAGTGTTTGATTTTCATTTCCCAGAAGTTTTCATCAGTGGAATGATCTCATATCTGTTCTTTGTTGTCTCTCTTCTTCCACCAGCACAGTTACTTCGAGATACAACTCCGTTTTGTGTTGTTATGGTTTAGATCTCAAATGTCCTGCACAAGTTCCATGTGTTCCAAGTCAGGGGTTTGGGAAGGTGATTAGATGGTGGGGGTGCTGTACTCACCAGTGCATTCCCACGTAGATGAGTTCAGAGCGGAAGATGCTGTTGGGATCTGGGCCTGGTAGGAGGCAGGTCACTGGGGTGTGACCTGGAAGGTGCATTCTTGTCCCTGCCTTCTCCTTTCTCCCTGCTTCCTAGATTCCATGGCTTCAGCGGCTTTCCCCTGCCATGCCTTTCCACAAGGCCATTTCTGCCTGGGATCCTGAATCCATGAGCCAAAACAAATCTCCTTTCAGTTGAGAGTATCTAGTGTTTGTCCCAGTGATGGGGAAGTGAGTAATATATGTTAGTATGAACAGTGTCGCTCTTTTCTGTGGCTCAGCAGTGGTCTGACCTATGAATACACCACCATTTGTTTACCCATTCACCTGTTGATCAGTTGGGTTGTTTTCAGCTCTTGGCAATAAATAAATAGAACTGCCATGAACATTCATGTAAAGGTGTTTCTCTGGGCATATGCTTTCGTATTTAGCAGTGGGATGGGTGAGCTGTACGACAAGGGGAGGTGAAGCATTTTCTAAAGTTCCCATATCATTTTCCATTTTCACCAGTAGGGGGCACCAGGCCCCAACTCTTAATGTCCCCACCAGCTCCAATAGCGCCGCCCTGTGGATCACACTCTTAACACATGAACCTTCTGGCTGCATTTAATTCAAAGCATAGCAGCCCTCGTTTCTTTAATCCAGTGAGGCTCAAAAAGCTTCTATTTTATCTTGAAGAGTTTTTCTGGGCGTGTGGAATGTAGCACTAAGACCAAGAGCTTTGAAATCAGATCGACTTGTCTGAACTCAACTTCTGTCACTAGTAATTAAGTAGCCTCAGTTTCCTCACTGTAAAGTGTATTGAATACCATTGTCTGCCTTATGGGGCTTCAGGACGATAAATGCTTTGATGCATGTAACTGTGTGCTGGCAGGTAGCAATTGATAAATTTTCATTGCATGTAATGCAGATGTAGTACGATTCTTTCAAAGTTCTTATGAAAAGAGAAATAGTCTTTGAGACTTTGTCCTAGGAATTATCAAGGGAATTATTTGTAAAATAATTAGATTGCAGTCTTTATAAATAATTTTGCATTGACTTTAAATAACGCTGATTTATTATAGAGAATTTAGAAAGCAGAGCTCTGACAACACACAAGCTGAGCCAGTGTGGAGATGTTTCTCGTGTTAATTCACGTTCCTTGTTCCTTGCCACCGTAGAAGGCCAGTGACTCAAGGGAAAGCTTGTTGGGGCAAGGAAAGATTCTATTTGGAGATTTAGCAATTAAAGAAGTTGGAGGCTATTACCGTCTTGCTTAGGGATCTTAAACACAAGATTTAAATGAGGAGTTGTGGGGAGGCACATCAGAAAAAGCAGGACAAGTGTAGTTCAGTTTAATTTTGGACAGTTTTTCTTGCTAACACACAGGCTCCTGTTTTCTGGAGGTCACTGGATGTTCTGGGTTTGTAAATCCGATGAAAAGTGACTGATTAGGAAGTCTGATGACTCATCTTCTTTTGGTTCTTTTTCCCAAGAATAGCTAATTCTGCAGTTAATTATAGAAGACAAAGGTACCCTTTCCTTGGAAAATAGGGGAAGGTAGCAAAAGACTACTTTTCCCTGAAGGTTTGAGGGAGATGAAGAAAAGCAACTTCCCCAGAGTACAGGGAGATAATGTTTGATGGAGAACAGTTTTCAACTCCTTCAGTGGCTCGGGCCAGGAATGTCATCTACAGCAAAGTGAGTGGGAGACTAGTAATGCATCGCCCAGCCGTGTGACCTCCAAAATGAGTGGTTTTTTTCAAGGTTGACCAAAAACAAGTGAAACTAGAGGGACTATTTGGGTTTTTGCTTGGTCAAAATTCCCCTGTCCCTTGTCTTTCTTCATTCCTCAATTCTGAAGGTTGGTGAGGCAGGAAAGTCCATCTTCCACAAATGCTCCAAACTAAATCTGGGTGTCATCAGCGAGCCTGGTAGAGAAGTCCTAATCTCAAGTGGGTCTGGTTATTGCCTGGTTGTAGGATCATCTGTTTATACTGCTTTGTGGGCACTATTTATAATTTGGTGGTCTCCAGTGTTTTACATATGAATAAATTGCACAGGTAAGGGTGGAAGGACTAGGATAGCCACCGCACCCCCAAAGCTGGAACAGGACACTGTTCGGCACAGTCTTTTCTACCATATTTTGAACATCCTGAGTGGAGGTGGCTGGCATGTTCCCGGAGGAGCCTGTTTCTTTAAAAGCCTGTGGTTTTTTTCTTTTGTGATTTTATGGGTGTTTACATAAGAACAACATAACATGCTGGATATCCATCATGCATTTAGGCAATCAGAATAGATTAAGCATTTACCTTAATAAAAAGCAAGGCATGTAAACCTATAATAAAAGTACTATTATAAATTGTAAGAACTCTAAAAGTGAGCTAAATCCGGAAGGTATCCAATTAGATAAGTGGAATAGAAGACCTTTTTCTTTTGAAATGGCCCCATGGGCATAAACTACTACATAAACCACATTTGGTTGCTTTTTTTTTTCTTTTGGTACTGGGGATTGAACTCAGGTCCTTGCGCTTGCGAGGCAGGCAGTGGAACCACTGAGCCAAATCCCCAGCCGTCATAAACCACATTTGGGATCAGTAAAGATAGATTTTTTTTTTTTTGTCTTTACCTATTGGGATTCCTTGACTAAGTCATGAGCTCAGCCTCTGGTGTGGGTACCTGGTGGGAAGACATTCTTTTTCAGGGCCCTTTTTTCTGGGTAACTACGATACAACCAGCTTAACATTGTCCTTGTTCCATAAAACTGTCTTCATCTGTGAACTCTTCAAGATCTGAATTCTCCAGTGGCAAGTCTATTTGACCAGAATTAATTTTGATTTTGGCAGGTTCTTTTGTGAGAGTTATTGTTATGGCTCATGTCTAGATGTCCCCTGAAAATCCTCATGTACTCATAGGTGGAGAATTTCAGAGATGGCTGGATCTAGGGTGCTTGAAGGTACAGTAAGGGTATATGAATATGGATGAAGGATGTTTTAACTAAATTATCCATGGATTGGTTTAGCATAGTTCTGGGAATGGATATTGGAAGGCCCACCCTGGGTGTGGGTAGCACCACCCTAAGAGCTTACAGCCTGAATGGGATAAAAGGAAAAGGGAAGCTTGCTGCTATTTGCCATTGCCTGCCTGCCATGCCGTGGACTATTTCTCCTCTGCCTCTGTTGCCCCTCTGCCATGTTGCCCACCTTGGAGCCAGCCCACTATGGACTGAGACTCCACAAACTGTGAGCTAAAATAAA